ACACCCACCCCCATACACCCACCCCCATACACCCACCCCCATACACCCACCCCCGTACACCCACCCCATACACCCACCCCATACACCCACCCCCGTACACTCAACCTCATACACCCACCCCCATACACCCACCCTCATACACCCACCCCATACACCCACCCCCGTACACCCACCCCATACACCCACCCCATACACCCACCCATACTACAAAAGAGTGCCGGTGACGAGCTGTTCGTTCATCCGGACTGCTCGCCTCACTCGTCTACAGCTACGCCGGACACAGCAACTCGTCCTCCTAATGGAGCGTCGCATTGTGACGTATACTCTCCCTAAGGACAAAAATTGTCGTATTAGAAAATGGCAGCGGCTCGCGAAGTTGACATAATGTTCCATTTACTGTTTTGGGTCGTCTGGTAGGTTATGAGAGGACTCTATAGTACGACACTTTCTTGACGTTGTGAAACATTTGGTGGACGGGTTGGGGAATAGGTCCTGTGGCCAGATTCACGAAGCAGTTACGCAAGTACTTACGAACATGTACATCTTTCCTCAATATTTCTCGGCTTTGGTTACATTTATTAAACAGTTTACAAGCTGAAAACTTGCCAACCAACTGTTGTTATTGTTATAAACAGCCTCCTGGTGCTTCTTCAGAGCTCATTAACTGTTTAATAATTATAAACAAAGCCGCTAAAGATTGAGAAAAGATGTACAAGTTCATGAGTGCTTGCGTAACTGCTTCGTGAATCTGGTCCCTGGTCGCCTGTAACCTCCACCGTCCGGGTACGGAAACCTTCGTGCCCAGACCTTCCAACAAACCTAACCCACAAACAATTAGTTTTTTTTATCTATATTTATTAAAATACAATATAAATCATATATACATAAATTTTACAAGGCAACACTACATTACATACACAGTAGTATAATTCTCTGGAAACAAGAGTTTTATTATTACAGAACATGAACTGGGCGTCAGTTAGTTTTAAACTTTGTTCAATGTCAACCAATATTTTTTGACTTGTTGTATATGAAAACGGCTGCAATTGTTCCAAGCTTTAGTACTGCAGCCTAAACAGAAAGGGGGATTTTAATTTTTTAAATTTTTTCAACGAATTTTACACATTTTCAAGTGTATATTTACAACCACATCTTTCATATATAATCATTCTATGACATTTTTCTGACACATTAGCATATAATAAAGGATCTGTAGGAAGGGATTTTCCAAAACGTCTTTAGGTTTCCTAATACAAATAGTCAAGTTTCCCCCCAAAAAATTATGCAAAAATATCATGTTTATTGCTATTTATAAAATCAATAAATGAACTTGGGAAAAAACGCTTCCTTAAGATTTTAGAGACATAAAGTTTACATATACAGTGTAAGTTTCATGTAAATTAAATAAAAAGTGAAAGAGAAATTGGAACGTTTATGTTACTTGAAAATAAATAAGTAAAAAATAAAGTCTAAGGTGCTGCCATCTGTGGCTGAGGTTGACATCAACCAATTTCCTCCAAATTTGGCACCCTTACAGATAGGCTTACGTGCAGTCAGGTGTATAAGTTTCGTACAAATCGCCCGATAAACAAATAAGAATGATAACATTAAAAAAAGGCAATTTTTTTTTAACTATTTTTTTGTTAATAAAACTAATTATAATTTGTTTTTAATATATGCTACTGTGATAGCTGAGAGTCATAGACATGATTTCAGTTGACACTTTTGTTTGATAATCGTTTTTGGACATTTTGGAAAATTTTTGACACATAATTCAATATTTTTTTTTCTCTCTTCCGAGCATGATCCGTAAACCCCAAATGTTATACCTGATCCTGCCTCGCAAGAACTTCAATATTTTGTCTACTGAGTAACCCTCCTGCCTGCCTATCCACACACAGTAACCTTCCTGCCTGCCTATCCACACACAGTAACCTTCCTGCCTGCCTATCCACACACAGTAACCCTCCTGCCTGTCTATCCACACACAGTAACCCTCCTGCCTGCCTATCCACACACAGTAACCCTCCTGCCTGCCTATCCACACACAGTAACCCTCCTGCCTGCCTATCCACACACAGTAACCTTCCTGCCTGCCTATCCACACACAGTAACCTTCCTGCCTGCCTATCCACACACAGTAACCTTCCTGCCTGCCTATCCACACACAGTAACCTTCCTGCCTGCCTATCCACACACAGTAACCCTCCTGCCTGCCTATCCACACACAGTAACCCTCCTGCCTGCCTATCCACACACAGTAACCCTCCTGCCTGCCTATCCACACACAGTAACCCTCCTGCCTGCCTATCCACACACAGTAACCCTCCTGTCTGCCTATCCACACACAGTAACCCTCCTGCCTACCTATCCACACACAGTAACCCTCCTGACTGACTATCCACACACAGTAACCCTCTTGCCTGCCTATCCCACACAGTAACCCTCCTGCCTGTCTATCCACACACAGTAACCCTCCTGACTGACTATCCACACACAGTAACCCTCTTGCCTGCCTATCCCACACAGTAACCCTCCTGCCTGTCTATCCACACACAGTAACCCTCCTGCCTGCCTATCCACACACAGTAACCTTCCTGCCTGCCTATCCACACACAGTAACCCTCCTGCCTGTCTATCCACACACAGTAACCCTCCTGACTGACTATCCACACACAGTAACCTTCCTGCCTGCCTATCCACACACAGTAACCCTCCTGCCTGCCTATCCACACACAGTAACCTTCCTGCCTGCCTATCCACACACAGTAACCCTCCTGCCTGCCTATCCACACACAGTAACCCTCCTGCCTGCCTATCCACACACAGTAACCCTCCTGCCTGCCTCTTATATCTCTTATATCAATATGAAACATTAAAAACCTCATTAACTCCACTCTAATACTTGGTCCACATAAAGCTTTAAGAGCGTCTCTAATCCAGTTTACAAGAACAACTTTCTGCTTACAGAAATAAAATATATGCATATTATTCTCAATTTCAGTACATTGGTCACACCTATTGTTGTCCTTAATGCCCAACATCAACAACCTGTCATTAGTAGGAAGGGTCTCGTGAATATAGCGATACAACAGCTCACGTTGTTTTGGGGCAATAAATTTAACATGAAGGTTTGCCCATATTACTTGCCAGCTAAAGAGTGGATATGCTCCTCTACTCTAGGAACTATATTTGGCAGTATAACATCATACACTTGTTTACTGTTCATCATTAAAAAACCTTCAATATTACAAATCTGCCTGAGAACATCAATTGCACATGAATAAAAGTGCGGTGATATAAAGGCAAGGTCAGTATACTCTGGTATATGTATCAAGGTCAGTATACTCTGGCATATGTATCAAGGTCAGTATACTCTGGCATATGTATCAAGGTCAGTATACTCTGGCATATGTATCAAGGTCAGTATACTCTGGCATATGTATCAAGGTCAGTATACTCTGGCATATGTATCAAGGTCAGTATACTCTGGCATATGTATCAAGGTCAGTATACTCTGGCATATGTATCAAGGTCAGTATACTCTGGCATATGTATCAAGGTCAGTATACTCTGGCATATGTATCAAGGTCAGTATACTCTGGCATATGTATCAAGGTCAGTATACTCTGGCATATGTATCAAGGTCAGTATACTCTGGCATATGTATCAAGGTCAGTATACTCTGGCATATGTATCAAGGTCAGTATACTCTGGCATATGTATCAAGGTCAGTATACTCTGGCATATGTATCAAGGTCAGTATACTCTGGCATATGTATCAAGGTCAGTATATTCTGGCATATGTATCAAGGTCAGTATACTCTGGCATATGTATCAAGGTCAGTATACTCTGGCATATGTATCAAGGTCAGTATACTCTGGCATATGTATCAAGGTCAGTATACTCTGGCATATGTATCAAGGTCAGTATACTCTGGCATATGTATCAAGGTCAGTATACCCTGACATATGTATCAAGGTCAGTATACTCTGGCATATGTATGAAGGTCAGTATACTCTGGCATATGTATGAAGGTCAGTATACTCTGGTATATGTACCAAGGTCAGTATATTCTGGCATATGTATCAAGGTCAGTATATTCTGGCATATGTATCAAGGTCAGTATACTCTGGCATATGTATCAAGGTCAGTATACTCTGGCATATGTATGAAGGTCAGTATACTCTGGTATATGTATCAAGGTCAGTATACTCTGGCATATGTATCAAGGTCAGTATACTCTGGCATATGTATCAAGGTCAGTATACTCTGGCATATGTATCAAGGTCAGTATACTCTGGTATATGTATCAAGGTCAGTATACTCTGGCATATGTATCAAGGTCAGTATACTCTGGCATATGTATCAAGGTCAGTATACTCTGGCATATGTATCTAGGTCAGTATACTCTGGCATATGTATCAAGGTCAGTATACTCTGGTATATGTATCAAGGTCAGTATACTCTGGCATATGTATCAAGGTCAGTATACTCTGGCATATGTATCAAGGTCAGTATACTCTGGCATATGTATCCAGGTCAGTATACTCTGGCATATGTATCAAGGTCAGTATACTCTGGCATATGTATCACGTAGCTAACACGTAATTTACAATAGTAATGACCTAGCACATTTACACTATTCCTCTGCATTATCACCTTTCTAAAGGTAACACATAAGATTGCGAATGACTTATGGTACACATTCAGTATTCCTATTCCACCGTTTTTCTTACCTTTACATAGAATAGTCCGTTTAATTTGTTGGTATCTACCATACCATACATATCTAAAAATAGTTTTGTCAATGTTGACCAGATATTTTTTGACCAGTTTTGTCAATCTCCATAGCACTTTTCTTGTCTATTGGAAAGCTGTGAGACAAATGCCACACTTTAGACAAAATTTTGCAATTGATTATTACAGCCTCCTGAAACAAAGTTAATGTCCTATTTGACAACATATTCCTTGCAACTATTATATTTCCACATAGTACTTGCTAATTCGTAACCAATGTTGTTCCATATGCTTTTCACCAGCAAATCCCATGACTGATGGGCGGGTAGCGTCACGCTGGGGTGGTATATGTGCCGTCATGGGCTCCTACACACCTCCACTCAAGTGGCCCATGACTGATGGGTGATAGCGTCACGCTGGGGTGGTACATGTGCCGTCATGGGCTCCTACACACCTCCACTCAAGTGGCCCATGACTGATGGGCGGGTAGCGTCACGCTGGGGTGGTACATGTGCCGTCATGGGCTCCTACACACCTCCACTCAAGTGGCCCATGACTGATGGGCGGGTAGCGTCACGCTGGGGTGGTATATGTGCCGTCATGGGCTCCTACACACCTCCACTCAAGTGGCCCATGACTGATGGGCGGGTAGCGTCACGCTGGGGTGGTATATGTGCCGTCATGGGCTCCTACACACCTCCACTCAAGTGGCCCATGACTGATGGGCGGGTAGCGTCACGCTGGGGGTGGTATATGTGCCGTCATGGGCTCCTACACACCTCCACTCAAGTGGCCCATGACTGATGGGCGGGTAGCGTCACGCTGGGGTGGTACATGTGCCGTCATGGGCTCCTACACACCTCCACTCAAGTGGCCCATGACTGATGGGCGGGTAGCGTCACGCTGGGGTGGTATATGTGCCGTCATGGGCTCCTACACACCTCCACTCAAGTGGCCCATGACTGATGGGTGATAGCGTCACGCTGGGGTGGTATATGTGCCGTCATGGGCTCCTACACACCTCCACTCAAGTGGCCCATGACTGATGGGTGATAGCGTCACGCTGGGGTGGTATATGTGCCGTCATGGGCTCCTACACACCTCCACTCAAGTGGCCCATGACTGATGGGCGGGTAGCGTCACGCTGGGGTGGTATATGTGCCGTCATGGGCTCCTACACACCTCCACTCAAGTGGCCCATGACTGATGGGTGATAGCGTCACGCTGGGGTGGTATATGTGCCGTCATGGGCTCCTACACACCTCCACTCAAGTGGCCCATGACTGATGGGCGGGTAGCGTCACGCTGGGGTGGTATATGTGCCGTCATGGGCTCCTACACACCTCCACTCAAGTGGCCCATGACTGATGGGTGATAGCGTCACGCTGGGGTGGTATATGTGCCGTCATGGGCTCCTACACACCTCCACTCAAGTGGCCCATGACTGATGGGCGGGTAGCGTCACGCTGGGGTGGTACATGTGCCGTCATGGGCTCCTACACACCTCCACTCAAGTGGCCCATGACTGATGGGCGGGTAGCGTCACGCTGGGGTGGTACATGTGCCGTCATGGGCTCCTACACACCTCCACTCAAGTGGAAGGAGTCCGTAGGACTCAAGTTCAGTTGTAACACTGATTACGACCTTGTCTGCACGACGATCTTCGATGTGTTACAGATAAAGATGGACGAACTATTTAGTTACCAACCACTGCCAGGGAACGGAGTGGTGGTGAAATTTGAAAACAATGTGAGATTTTCAGAGTTTCTAAAGAAGTATGATGATGGTTCTTAGTGTGGCGAGGTGAAGGGTCTGGCCACACTAAGTCCTCTCAATGCTCTAGTCACAGCCTCGTCTCTCACTTGCAACAGGTCGTCTCTCACTTGCAACAGGTCGTCTTTCACTTGCAATAGGTCGTCTCTCACTTGCAACAGGTCGTCTTTCACTTGCAACAGGTCGTCTCTCACTTGTAACAGGTCGTCTCTCACTTGCAACAGGTAGTCTCTCACTTGTTACAGGTCGTCTTTCACTTGCAGCAGGTCGTTCCTCACTTGCAGCAGGTAGTCTCTCACTTGCAACAGGTCGTTCCTCACTTGAAACAGGTCGTTCCTCACTCGCAACAGGTCGTTCCTCACTTGCAACAGGTAGTCTCTCACTTGCAACAGATCGTCTCTCACTTGCAACAGGTCGTCTCTCACTTGCAACAGGTCGTCTCTCACTTGCAACAGGTCGTTCCTCACTTGTAACAGGCTGTCTCACTTGCAGCAGGTAGTCTCTCACTTGCTACAGGTCGTCTCTCACTTGCAACAGGTCGTCTCTCACTTGCTACAGGTAGTCTCTCACTTGCAACAGGTCGTCTCTCACTTGCTACAGGTAGTCTCTCACTTGCAACAGGTCGTCTCTCACTTGCTACAGGTAGTCTCTCACTTGCAACAGGTAGTCCCACAGCAGACCTGTCAACCTCATCACCTGCCCCCACCAGCCGGAGGCGACGGTCGAAAAGGAAAGCAAAACGTCAGCAAGTGGAATCAGAACCAGCACCAGAGTTCCTAGAATCACCATTGCTTCCATCTGATACGGATGCGGCAGTCAGATATGAGGCCCCAGACTTCGACCTAAACTCAAGCAAATCAAGCAAGAAATAGCCCTACTATGGACTTTACCTCAATCACGGTGGCACTTTCAACGGCAATCGAAGCACAAGAATAGTCATTGCCTTAGAATGCAACAGGATCATCAACCAACTCAAGACCTGCTTTCCTTACCCTGTTTTTGTCCACCACGAGACCGTGGAACTATATGTTGACCTCAGCGCTCTGGAGAGTGAATACATCGACCCTAAATTCGATTTCAAGATGGGACAAGTGACCTTCCTGGAAGAAGATGAAGACCCGACAGGAACACTAATACCACCGCTGTCATTTGGGAAGTACATGCGAATACCTCGTGGCCAAGACACCACCAAGCAACAGTGAACTTACCTCTCACCACCTCAATAAGGAAGACGCCTCCTCCAAGCCAGACACACCACCTCAAGTGAACCAGGACGACATAACCCTGCCCCACCACTAGCCTCCTGCCGCCCAAGAAGAACTTAAGCTACAGGCTTTGACTGAAAAAACATCTCCAATCCACGGTGGACGGGCCACCGAACTTTCAAGCCTCCTATCTCTACATCCAAATCCTCTTCCAAGAATTTCATCGCCCCCTCCTTCTTCCTCCCACATCCTTTCCAAGCTCTTTGGACATCAAAGCTCTCACTTGCAACAGGTAGTCTCTCACTTGCAACAGGTAGTCTCTCACTTGCAACAGGTCGTCTCTCACTTGTAACAGGTAGTCTCTCACTTGCAACAGGTAGTCTCTCACTTGCAACAGGTAGTCTCTCACTTGCAACAGGTCGTCTCTCACTTGCAACAGGTAGTCTCTCACTTGCAACAGGTAGTCTCTCACTTGCAACAGGTCGTCTCTCACTTGTAACAGGTAGTCTCTCACTGGCAACAGATCGTCTCTCACTGGCAACAGGTCGTCTCTCACTGGCAACAGGTAGTCTCTCACTTGCTACAGGTAGTCTCTCACTTGCAACAGGTAGTCTCTCACTTGCTACAGGTAGTCTCTCACTTGCTACAGGTAGTCTCTCACTTGCTACAGGTAGTCTCTCACTTGCAACAGGTCGTCTCTCACTTGCAACAGGTAGTCTCTCACTTGCAACAGGTAGTCTCTCACTTGCAACAGGTAGTCTCTCACTTGCTACAGGTAGTCTCTCACTTGCAACAGGTAGTCTCTCACTGGCAACAGGTAGTCTCTCACTTGCAACAGGTCGTCTCTCACTTGCAACAGGTAGTCTCTCACTTGCAACAGGTAGTCTCTCACTTGCAACAGGTAGTCTCTCACTTGCTACAGGTAGTCTCTCACTTGCTACAGGTAGTCTCTCACTTGCTACAGGTCGTCTCTCACTTGCAACAGGTAGTCTCTCACTTGCAACAGGTAGTCTCTCACTTGCAACAGGTAGTCTCTCACTTGCAACAGGTAGTCTCTCACTTGCAACAGGTAATCTCTCCCACACCAAGTGTGTCTCGGGCTCGAATCGGGTTGTTAGGCAAAATACATAAAATAATGGACTACAGTAACTCTCAAGTCAAATATAATGGAAAATATAGAAGAGTGTACACAACATGACAATTCCAAGACCATATCTCAACTACATAGTTTATTAAACCCCTCCTCTCCCCCCCCCCCCCCGGACTGACTGCCGGGGGGACTAAACTAGATGGAACTGATTCTCATTCTAGTAGCCTCGTTCACCTGACGAGATGAACGGCGTTCAAGTAGCCTCGTTCACCTGACGAGATGAACGGCGTTCAAGTAGCCTCGTTCACCTGACGAGGTGAACGGCGTTCAAGTAGCCTCGTTCACCTGACGAACGTCCTAAAATTACCGAACTTAGAAAGCCCCCAAAAGACAAAGTTAACTCCCCAGCAATGGTTGCTTCGACACGTAAACAAATCTCGATTAACGCTAATATGGAGATAAGCAAAGATGACCACAACTGATAAAAATGATCAGGCTAAACAAATTTGCACTCATCATATTAACTTTCTCTCACGATAAATATCTCTATCGTGGAACTGTTCAGAACCCACATAAACAAACACGTCACATTCTGTACACATAAATGGTAATAAATCCAGTCTTTCCCCTCACATCAGCTTAATTCCTTGGGATAACTATAGTCAGGTCAGTCAGTTCAAGTCCCTCCTCTAAGGCCTACAGCCCCCGACACAGCCTCCGGTGTCTCCCAGGCTGTGGGATCCGCGTGAGATCAGCAGCACTCCCAGTTGCAATTCTTTTGACCTTGTCGTGGGGCAGTCGACTAAGGCGCGTCTGGGATCATCCAGGACGTAGGTTCGAGCCCTCACGACGGCCCTTGGGGATTTGTTCATTTGACGTATCACGCTATTGTGATTTATGTGTGTATTATGTATATATTTATATTAGTGTCGTTAATCAGTCATCATTGAGGATCTATTATATGTAACTGTATGTATCATTATATGGCTTATGCAGTTGTGAAGGAAGGTGTACCAGGGAGAGTGTAAGGGGTCCCTTGGTGAAGGGTAAGTGACCTCCACCACGACACCGTGGGTCTCCTCCCACAGTCTCTGGCTACCCACCTTACTTAACTCTCTTTTCTTAAGCTCTCATCTCGCCCTTCTCCCACTGTTCCAGCCTGCTCTTGACCATCAACCTGCTCTCCTACCACATTCTGCCTGCCTACCTAAGCCTGCCTACCCTAGCCTGCCTACCCAAGCCTGCCTACCTTAGCCTGCCTACCCAAGCCTGCCTTCACAAGCCTGCCTACCTTAGCCTGCCTACCTTAGCCTGCCTACCTTAGCCTGCCTACCTAAGCCTGCCTACCTAAGCCTGCCTATCCAAGCCTGCCTACCCAAGCCTGCCTACCCAAGCCTGCCTACCTTAGCCTGCCTACCCAAGCCTGCCTTCACAAGCCTGCCTACCCAAGCCTGCCTTCACAAGCCTGCCTACCCAAGCCTGCCTACCCAAGCCTACCTACCCAAGCCTGCCTACCTAAGCCTGCCTACCCAAGCCTGCCTACCCAAGCCTGCCTACCCAAGCCTGCCTACCCAAGCCTGCCTACCCAAGCCTGCCTACCCATCTCATGCACATTACTATGTTACACTGCAACACTTGCCTCGGCTGCTGTTTTACTTATTTATGATGAAGTCTGCTTAAAATTTAAGCAGACTCTGTGTATCACTGTGTGAGACCGTCAGAAGAAGTCAAGAAAGAACCTCTCTGCTTTGCTTTGAATAACATGAATTTCACGGGTTCGCATTTTTGTGAATACCGTTATTTAATTTATTATGTGCCTTACACCCATCCTGTAGGCGGTCAGGAAACATTAGAGAGGCATTACATACAGAAATCACAATAACGTGATGCATCAAATGAACAGGTTAGAATCCTCGTCACGGCCCTTGTGGATTTGTTCTTTCCAGAGGCATGTAATGGTTTCAGGAACAGGCTCCCAATACTCGCTTTTAACGAAGATGGTTGCAGCATTGTTGAGCTGGTGGCAAGGATTCACTTCCAGGGGGTATTTAGGAACAGGTTTTCAGAGGTTTCTGCGTTAAAATTTTGGCGTACATTAATTACTAGTTCAGAAGCGGATAGGCAGTCGTCTTTAGCCGAGAAGTTGGTAAAGGAGGTAATATGTTGACAGTGAGCAACATATTGTAATCATGGTCGGAATTTGGATTCATATTCCACTCGCTTCATTTGCATCAGAAACTCGCAATTATTAAATTCTGGCCACCAATGTTATTTTTGTCTTAATACCCACATATGTTATTTTTGCTAAATGGTCATCAATGTTATTTTTGGCTAAATGGCCATCAATGTTATTTTTGCTAAAAGGTCACCAATATCATTGTAAATATATGAGTGGTAATACAATATTGACCAGAAGATGAGGCAGAGCTTGACAAGGCTGCTTGTATTTCAAATATTTCCTGGGATGTGAGGTTATGAATAATTTACATGAATTGTTTTGACATTTCAACATTTGTTAGAAAATTCTCTCTCTCTCTCTCTCTCTCTCTCTCTCTCTCTCTCTCTCTCTCTCTCTCTCTCTCTCTCTCTCTCTCTCTCTCTCTCTCTCTCTCTCTCTCTCTCTCTCTCTCTCTCTCTCTCTCTCTCTCTCTCTCTCTCTCTCTCTCTCTCTCTCTCTCTCTCTCTCTCTCTCTCTCTCTCTCTCTCTCTCTCTCTCTCTCCCTCCTATTCTCTAAGAGATGAAAGAAGAGGAATATTTGAGAGAGCGTGCAAAGAGAAGATGAGGAGAGAATAGGGAGAAAAAGTAGAATAGGAGAGAATTTGGAGGAGAAAGGCGAAGATGAATGTATATATATATATATATATATATATATATATATATATATATATATATATATATATATATATATATATATATATATATATATATATATATATATATATATATATATATATATATATATATATATATATATATATATTGTGACGGTAAAGTGTTGGAGTGTTGATGTTCGGCAAATTTCAATAGCAGGGGCAATGCCTCGTCACATTTACAGAAACAAAAAGAAATTGCTTGCCCGTTTGTCTGTGGTAAGGTATTGGGGAGACACAAAACACAAAGTATAAACAATGAAATTTTAATTACTCTAGAAAATAAGATATGAATAAAGACAATCCCTTGGCTTACATAAAATTCAAAACAAGTCAACAAACAAAACAACATGAATAATTAATGGCTGGAAAATTTACTCTAAAATAAAATGGAGTGCAAAACAATAGTAATAGTAATATAATCAGGTGCTGAGAATACTGGCTTAAGCTTCCACCTCCCTTAGTACACGACAGCCAGAGCTTTGTCTACCAGCGAGAGATGTCTACTCCAAAGAGCACAGAGATATTCTGAGGAGTACGGCGTGTGCTGGATCAGACGTCGACTCAGGTAGTGGCATGAGTGCAGATGCGGCGACACACAAGCCAATCAGGAGCAGGCAGGCGGAGGATGGGTAGTTTGCTCGTTGACGGCGGGCGGGAGCCGGTGTGTTTGGTGGTGCAAGGTACGCTTTGCTTCCTGGGCAAAACGTTTGGCGATACTGGTGGATGTATCTTCAATATAGTATATTGTACTTGAATGACGTGAATTATGTAGGGAAGAGCAGGCTCAATCTCTCTTGAAAGAGATTATTGTCACAATATATATATAAATGACGACTGAAAACTCACTCCCCAGAGGTGACTCGAACCCATACTGCCAGGAGCAACGCAACTGGTATCTACAGGACGCCTTAGTCCGCTTGACCATCACGACCGGACATAAGGAAGTGATAGCCAAAGCTATTTGAACCACTTCCCCGCCGGCACTCGGATGGTAATCTTGGGCATAGCATTTTATCAAATCACCTCATTCAGTCGCATATAGTCCTGGGGACCATTCAGGCTTGTTTGCATTTGTGTTCCTCACGTGTGCCCCAAAGAATGAAGTCATTTGATAAAATGTTATACCCAAGATTACTATCCGAGTGCCGACGGGGAAGTGGTTCAAATAGCTTCTACTATCACTTCCTTATGTCCGGTCGCGATGGTCAAGCAAATTAAGGCGTCCTGTATATACCAGTTGCGTTGCTCCGGGCAGTATGGGTTCGAGTCACTACTGGGGTGTGAGTTTTCAGTCGCATATAGTCCTGGGGACCATTCAGGCTTGTTCGCATTTGTGTTCCTCACGTGTGCCCCAAAGAATGAGTTGATTTGATAAAATGCTATGCCCAAGATTACCATCCGAGTGCCGGCAGGAAAGTGGTTCAAATAGCTTCGGCTCTCGCATCCTTATGTCCGGTCGTGATGGTCAAGCGGATTAAGGCGTCCTGTTGCGTTGCTTCTGGCAGTATGGGTTCAAGTCACTTCTGGGGTGTGAGTTTTCAGTTGCTTATAGTCCTGGGGACCAATCAGGCTTGATCGCATTTATATTTATATATATATTGTGACGATAATCTCCTTCAAGAGATTGAGCCTGCCCTTCCCTCCAAAATACGTCGTTATAAATCCTTATACTACTAATATGGAAGAAATATCCAACAACGACAACATCTCCAAGATTTGCCAGAGCGCAAAACGTATGCAGCCAGGAACACCTGCTCCACCTCGAACCACCAAACTACCTGTCTGGTCGCCTGCTCATCGCTGATTGGCTGCGGGTCCGGTTGCAACTGCACTCCACCCACCACACTACTTGATGTCTGGGGCCGCCACGACCTCAGTCCTCAGAATATCCAGTGCTTTCATCAGGTTAACACGTCTCGTTGGTAGACTAAGCCGTGGCTTACGTGTACTAAGAGAGGTGATAGCTTAAAGCCAATATTCCTGCACCTCTTATTTGATTGTATATTGTTCACTTGTTATTACTCACTTGTCTTAACGTAACTTTTCATTTTGTCATTTGATTATTCTTACTATTTTGATTGATTGATTTTATTATACGAATTTGTATGTCCATTTTATTCATGTTTTGCTTTTCTA